TCTTCCTTTCCCTCTCTCTGTCGAGGTCTATGGCGTAGACTATACGAACATACCCGACTGCCATTTGCTCTGTTCTATGGTTATTTCCCCGTCAAATTGAGGTATGTACTGATCACGATCCAAACCACTATTTCTAGAAATGGTACTAAGCCAGATCAGTATTTCGGATTTTTCTTTTTTGTTAGTCTTTGCCATCTGTTTGCGAATTCCATCATACGGGGATTTTCACGGTATTGAACGAACAAGTTATCTCATGACGAGACTGCACTTTGACTTGGTGTGATGGTTTGCGTGCCTGCATGACCCTGCGAGCTACACAGGGTAGCTTTTCACCACCGTAGATCCATTCACACAAAAGTCCAACGGGTAGAGGCCAACCAAAGGTCAGTTTCACAAACCCTGCTGTTTGGGCACCTCCTGGCTTCGTTCGACTATCCATACCCGTCCCTGGAGAAGTCACTTTATCAAATAAACACGGTGAGGGGCAGTTTACCAGTCAAAAAACTCCATTAGATGGATATAGGAGCGGGGTACCTGGGGCTTCCTTTCGACCGTGGAGCAGTCTTCGCACCCAGCCAGTAAGGTGCTGTCCCGGCTACGTCCCGTTTACCTCATTGGGTTCCTGAGGCTAAGGGCCGATCCCGAAAAACGGACCGATAATCAACGGGCCAGCGAACAGCAATTTAATCCAAATTCAGAGGCCTTGCTTGACAGGTCTCCAGAAGCTCCCACACAGGTGCTTCCTTTCCGCTCCCGCGTTGAATTTACGCCCCACTACCTTGTGGGTCAGACTTTTGAGTCGAAGGCTCTGGTTAGGGTTCTCAAAGAAAAATCCCTTCGTCGGTGTGGGCTACCGCAAAGTATGTCGTGCCCTCAAGTCTTAGGGAAAAATCTCTTTCCTATCTATCTAGTTCTTTCCGAAATTCTCAATAAGTTTAAGGCATCCTGACCAGGTGAGCTGTCCCCATCGGTCTTCAAGGAATTAGGTCCAACCTTTGTTTTATTGTTGACGACTCTCCTGGGCTCACTATGTTAGAGAGAACAATTTCCAACTGAATGGTGTGAATCGATCATCCTACCGGTTTACAAGAAAGGTGACGGGTCCTCTTGTGAAAACCACAGAGGAATTAGTCTGATCAACATCGTCTCTAAACTTCTCGCTGGCATCATACTCCGTCGATTATCTGCTGCACATGAAGAGTACACGCCTGAGAATCAGGCTGGTTTCAGACCTGGTCAAGGTTGTATTGTTCACATCTTTAGTCTTCACCAAATTCCAGAGCACCGACATCCCTTTCGCAGACCCCCCATTTCTGTCTTTCTCGATCTGAAAGTGGCCTTCGACTCAGTTGACCGTTCTACGCCCTGGCGCTGCCCTTCCCTGAAGTTTGTGCCCAGGAAGTTTCTTTCAATATTACGATCCATTCATCCTAATAGCCGAAACCGAGTCCGAGTTTACGGCACTTTTTCACGGGAGTTCAAAACCGAAAGTAGTGTTTTTCAGGAGTGCCCTCTCTCTTTTTTCATTTAACTTCGTTATGGAGTTGACTATAGAATAGCCATGTCCTCGTTCGAGAATAATAGCACGAAGTTTCTCCTAGGTAGCAGACTATCTGATCTGCAGTATGCAGACGACATTGTACTGCTAAGTGAAGATCCAGGCAAGTTACAAGCTTTTCCGGATATTTCAATTACTAGTGTAGCCATGTTCGGTGTGCGTTTTGCACCCTCCAACTGTAAAAGGTTGCTATTGGTCGGTCAGCCCGGTTCCCTATCTCTCTCTTACTGGGAACTGATAGAGGAAGTGGACAAACACTGTTATTTGGGGAACTATATCTCACGCAGGAAGTTTCAGCACGTATTAGAAGGCTTGATGAATGTTAGCTACCTCGAGACATCGTTGGTATCCGTTTTTTTTGTGGAGAGTTGAGTGTATACTGCAGCAGTTCGCTTGGCGCCGCTATGCGGTGCAGAGCCCCGGCCCATACGGGAACAGGATGCACATAGTTTCCAGGTTTCCGAACACAACTGTCTACTTTATATTCTGGTATGGAAACCGTGAAAGCAATGCTGGGCTTGGACGCAGAGGTTTAAGTGATCGAGGTCGCTCATTGGAGTAAGTGTTCTACTTTCATAGAATACGTTGGTTTGGGGGGTGTTATGCATGCCATCAAACCGATACCTCGGCGCAGGATGTTTGCCGAGACAAGTAGTGGTTGGAAAAAAGTAGGCAGTGGTCACACAGAGACCTGACATGTGAAAACCCCAACCATAGGCTACATTCGGCTTCCTGCAGTGACATTGCTTGCACTCTTTCATCCGAATTGGCTACTGAAAGATAGCAACAAAAGCGGCCGCTTGAAGATTTATGGTAATGGTAGTTTAAAATGAAACTGACTTACGCTATCTCGTTTAATTCACAGAAAACATCTGGTTGAGAGGAAGAGGGCAGTTGCAATTCATTTTCCAAGAAACTCTTATCGGTTGCTTGAGTGTGCCATCCATGAGAAGGAAAGAGCCCATCAAGAAATGCCTTGAGATACTGAGAAGTAAATTTATGCTCCGGGTTCCTATTCATCGATCAAGAGCAGCCTGAGTCTCGGCCTTAACAACCAAGTGAATGATTCGATGTGAAAAGCCCTGCGTTACCCACTTTCACTACTCCCCTCGTTTGCCTAGCACCACCGTACAGATACACTCCATTCCGTCACTAACTAGTTCGTTTTTCCCCACACACGTTTACCGGCACTAATTTTCTGCAACTCGTCTCTTTATGTTCACAGGACATATATTGGTGATCCAATCTATCCGATGGATGGTGAAACTCCGGAGCAACTAGCCGACCGAGTGAGTAATCAGTGGCTACCAATGCAGCCCTATTGTTTCTGAGGGGTTTTGGTAATAACATCTTCCCACTCAGTTCGCTTGAATCAGTGTGTCTCATACCTCGGAGTTTGGTCGGGAGTGGGTGTTGGGCTCCAAAATGGCCATTCATCCCGAACTCCTCTAGAAATGCTCCCAAACGACCAAGCGCCTTCTAGCTTCTGCTGAGGAAGTCCTACCCACTGCCTTCTCGTGGCGGTGTTAACACTAAAGTGGGAGGGCAAAGGCGAATGCCCGGCACTTTCCACCGGGTTGACTGACCACTGGTAGTCAGTCTAGGGGAGTTGGCTAAACCCGTATTCCAAACCACCTACACCTGGCGTAAGAAGCTCATAGTAGTACCAATCTTCGGCGCAACCGAACCGGTCTCCAAAGTTAATCTTTGGAGTTGACCACTGTGATGCTCACCGGCAAATGCGTGGCTCAAGGGCAATCTGGGTATCCTGGATAGTTGGCGGCATCCGAAAGTAGTATGAACTGCCCCCAGTCACCGGCTCCCAGAGGATGGTGGACCCCCTACTCTGCCCCACTGCCTTGTAGGTCAGGTTCTTTAACCAAAGGCTCCGAGTAGGGTCCCCCAAGGAAACCCTCGGCCTGGGCAACCGGGTTGTACCACGCCCACAAACTACCCATGGACTTATGAACATACACATTTACGCATGTCACAGAATATTACAATTCTGCAAAGCTTTCTCTTAAAATCTGCACGCAACACTTTCACCCCCCCACACACACAATACCCTCGTTTTTTCCACTGTTTGTCCCACCCCGAACGGTTCCATTAACGTAGGTTCATGTCGTAGCTCTCCGCTATCCTCCTTGACATCTGTCTCGGAGCCGATAGTTCCATTCCTCCGACCTCACTCTGCGTTCAAACTGGCTTCGTTCAACGTTAGAACTCTAATGCGTATAGGACAACAAGCAGGTTTGGCTCGTACGGTCGAAAGTCTAGAGATTGATGTGTGTTGCCTCTCGGAAACACGCATCCAGGATCCGAGCTCAGTGATCCGATTAACGTCTCCTTCCAACTCAAAAGAAGCGTTTTAACTGTGCGTCTCTGGGGACCCTATCGCTTCATCGTTTGGTCAAGCAGGCTTTGGTATTGCCTCAAGCCCCTGGGCCGAGGCTGATCTGATGGGTTGGATCCCGATAGACAGCCGACTATCCGCAGTGAGACTCGGAGGCTCAAGTAAGGTCAAAAAGCAGAAACCAAATGAATGGTGCTTATTCGTGGTTTCTGCATACGCTCCCACAGACTGTCGTCCGGATATAATCAAGGACGCCTTCTATCACAACTTACATGAGCTTCTTCTCAAGCACCTAAGATGGATATCGTGATCCTGGCGGTAGACCTAAATGCACGCGTTGGCCGTCTGTCACCCGATGAGACCCACCTTGGTGGCCATCATGGCCTTAATAGCTGTCGTTCAGATAATGGGGACAGACTTCTTAGCATATGCTCAAAACATGGTCTGTTCCTCGTTAGCACGAACTTCAGACACTC